TTTATAATAATTTAAATTGTTGATATACTTTAATTTTAACATTTAACACACACTGCTTAATATTTACTATCTCATATTTGAGACAGAAAATAGTAAAGTTCTCATTTTTGTGTGTGAATAGTGCAGCTCTCTTTTCTATCATAAATCAAAAAATGCTCAACATACTACAGTCATTTTACAAAAGCTGCTATTTCCATGTTCCCATGTTAATTTGGAGGTATTTTTATTGCTATCCTGGCTTTCCTTTGATTTATTTTTTTTTTTTTAAACCAAGCAAGACACCCTGAAAGAGCAACACCCCAAAGGGAAGCTGTGGACATGTTCCCTGGAGTGGAGTCCCCCGAAGGATTTCTCAGCCCTGCAGATTTCTAAAAGGCAAAAAGCCAGAGTGAAAACTGTTGGGAAGAGCGTGGAGTAACAGGAAAGGCTCCGTAAACTGATTTTGTACTGAAAATTCTGATTCAGAGTGTTGCTAAGTGCAAACAGAAATATTTCTCTGGCAGTTGCCAAACAAGCGGAAGACTTTCTGAGCTCCTTTTCACCACTTGGAGCTCTAAAAAAAGGCGGTGGGAGGGGATTCTGTGTAGCCTGGCAGGGCCTGGGTCCCGTACCAGGCTGGATTTAACCCCGTTTGTGTTTCTCCAGGAGGGTGTAAAACCAGCCCCAAACCAGCAGCCCCATAATTGGAGGCCATTGAATTCCAGCACAAGGCCCAGAACAATGTGAGGTGCTGAGCGAGGCAATTCTGCCTCCTGAAAGGTGCTGGAAATTCAGATCAAACATAAAACCACCGAGCCACAATTCCATGGGAAGATTTGGGGCCAGAGATGTTTCTCTTGTGCCCCGATGATATCACTTGGTGAGGACAATGATGTGAAAATGTTTTTTATGCGATCGTAGGATGAAAAAAAACCTGGGTAGTCATTAAAAAAAAACATTTCAGAACGGGCCATATAAGGCACAGAGAATTCTGCCCCGCTGACACCAACCAGGCTGGAGACCAAAACTTAAAGTAAAAGAGTCCTTTGGAACAGCAGCAGCTCCTTCCTCTGGGCTTCCCTGACCCAACTTCCAGCACTGATCCTGTCCCTGGTCCTTTCCAGAGTATTTTTACACCTCAGTTCTGTGTCTGTCTGTTCTAAGGTCTGGCTATTATGGCTGTTGGCAGGTTTTTGAAGGCCCTAGAGCTGGTGTATTTTCTATTTAATATTTATAATTAATAATAAATTATATAGTTGCTATAACATTTTAATATTTACTATGCAATAATAAATATTTACTACAGATCTCATATTTGAGACAGAAAATAGTAAAATTCTCATTTTTTGTGTGCAGATAATTTTCTATTATCTATTATAAAGCAAAAAAACCCCAACATACTACAGTCATTTTACAGAAGCTGCTTTTTCCATATCCCCATGTTAATCTGGAGGTATTTTTATTGCTGTAAATATGAATTTATTTTAAAAAAAAACAAGCAAGGCACTCTGAAGGAGCAGTATCCCAAAGGGAAGCTGAGGAGATCTTTTCTTGAGTAGATATATATATATATACATATATATATATACACACACATATATATATGTATATATACACACCATGCTGGTATTTCCACTTAACCTACTTATATGAATGAAATAATATTTTTTTTTAATATAATGAAATAATATTTAAGCTAAAAGCTCAAATATCTTTGCCAATAGGTGCTGAATGACTCTGGTTATCCCTTATGTCTGCACCCAGAAGGAACAGGCACACCTGGAGGTGACTGGTTCTGGAAAATTGAGCTGGAAAACTCATTTAAGGATAAGAGGTAACTCTGGGTGACAGGTTTGCATCTAAACAGCCCTGGGAGAGGGGTTTTGCTGGCAAAGTTTGAGCCTTTTTAATGTTAAATTCTATAGTATTAAAGCTTCTAGTGTTTTATTTTTGACTTTATTAACATTGTGAGTATTGGGGCATAAACTGTGGCCAGTAAATCTCGTGCTCCTCTGCACAGGAAGGGCTCTGGAATGGAGGTTTATTTGAAGAGTATTCTTAAAATGCTGCTGTTATCCCAGAGCCATGCTGGTTTTGGCCTGGAAAACTGGCTTTGTGGGAGATAGTTGGCCTTCCTGCTGGAATGTGTGCCTGGAAGGTTGAATTGTAGGGAGCAGCTGTGAGAGCTCTGTCAGGAGTTAGGGAAGGTGGTGGGTTGATTTATGAGGAATATGTGGGAAAGGGGAATTCTGGGCTTGGGAGAAACAGGCTGAGCACTGGCTCCAAGTGCAGGTAGTTGGGAGCACAGCAAGATTTGTGGCACTGTGGTCTGATGAGAGGGGTGTTTAATGAAGGGAGTTATCTGTAATTCCATAGGATCCCAGACTGGTTTGTGTTGGAAGGGACCTTAAAGATCATCCAGTCCCACTCCCTGCCATGGGCAGGGACACCTTCCACTATCCCAGGTTGCTCCAAACCCTGTCCAACCTGGCTTTGAAAACTTCCAGGGATGGGGCATCCTCTGGGAAATCCATTCCAGAGCTTCACCACCCTCACAGGGAAGATTTCCTTCCCAATATCCCATCTAACCCTGGCAGTGGGAAGCCATTCCCCCTGTGCTGTCCCTCCAGGCCCTTGTCCAGAGCTCCTCTCCAGCTCTCTTGGAGCTCCTTTAGGCACTGGAAGGGGCTCCAAGGTCTCCCTGGAGCCTTCTCTTCTCCAATCTGAACATTCCCAGCTCTCAGCCTTTCCTCATGGAGAGTTGTCCATCCCTCTGACACCCCCGAGCTGTGTGTGGATGAAGGGGGACACACAGTGGATGTGGCAGCAGCAGGTTACTCCTCTCGCCCTGTCCATTCCTCTCATTTCCAACCATCCCACGGGTGCTCCTCCAGACTCTCCAGAGCATTTCCATCCCTTTATCCCCTGCTCAGGGCTGGCAGCACAGCAGGGACCAGCAAATGGAATCGACAGACAGGAGCAGGAGCTCGAATTGATCCCCGGGTGGTGACAGATTGTGCCAGGGGCTACCGGCAGGGCAAGGGCTGGAAATGAAATCCGGGAAGTTCCCTTCTCATAACACAAGTGTGGCTCCCAGAAGAACATCAGTTAAATATGTTGATATTAAATAAGTCTTGGCCAGGATTTGAAAATGAAAACCTGCTTATGCAGAGCTGTAACCAAACCCCTTTTTTTTGGTTATAAGCTACGAGTCAATTGAATAATGTCAGAGTATGGATTGGATACAACTTGCCAAAAATAACTATCAAAGCAGGTCACCACGAGAGACAAGTTTTTCCAGAGGCTCTGTTGATGCTATCATGGTACTCTGTGTTGATTGTATTAATGAATAGACTGTAAGCTCATTGAATTCAGGACTAATTAAGCTGTCTTTTCACCGTGCTCTTAAATACTGTCCCACCTGAACCGACTCATGACTTTTATCCTGAGCTTGTGACTATTAGTTTATGAACACACACTTTTGACAAACTGCACTTGCTGGATCCATGGCCTGTGTTCAGATCAGTTGAGTGGAAAAAGCAATTTAGCTTTGTATTTGCTGTCTGCCTGTGCTGATCTGCTGTGCTGCAGCCAGGCTGACCTCCTCAAAACCCCCCAGTGTGTTTAAATTTAATCAATAATTTGGGATTAACAAGCATGCTGATCTTTGTATTCTGAGCTGGGTACAATTTAAATGTGTGTTTTCCCTGCAATGAAAAAGAGCAGTGTTTGCATTAGAGTGCTCAAGCTTTATTCTGCCAGTGACATTTCCCCTTTGTTATCACCCCCCACAAGAAATTCTGGATAAATACATGTTTACAGGTGCAGTTATCAAAGGACACACACCAGTTTACCACTACCCACTCCCAGCAGCACACACCAAACTCCTGAAATCCCATTGCCTTCTGTGAGTGTAACACTGGCTGGAATAAAAACTACACAAAGCTTTTTTTGAGCTGCAGTGCTTCATAAAAATATCAGAGCCAAATCTCATACACCAAGTGGATTGAGTACCTGTGATCCTGGTTTGTAGCAGTGCCAGTTTAGCATAATGCCATAATCTACAGGAAGAGACAAGAGATTTTTGTTTGTTGGGGTTTTTTTTTGTGGTTTTTCTTTTATGCAAAAGCTAAAAAAGCTGCATGGAGTTACTACCATGAAAATGATGAGGGAATTTAAACAACTCCTGTAAACATACTGGATTTGAAAATTGAAACCAAAGGGTGACTGTCTTTGTAAAGGAAATTTATTCACATAAAACAAACATACAAACATACAAAACTCAGCAAGGTTTATTGCAAGGCTCAGCAATGAGGTTACATCCACTCCCTGCACGTGGGTATTTCAAAACAGGTTGGGAATAAGAGTTGAAGTTTCTTGCACCATGACCCAGTGTCCTGTTGGACAGGTGAGTTCCTGCTCTTGCAAGCTTTAGTACCACTTAAATTTGTGTATTGCACAGTGGAGGGTTCTCAGTGAACTAAAATCTGATTACTGTAATACATAGGAATAGCTAATTCCCAGGTGACACTTTGCACATACAGAATTTTTTTTTTGGATGCAGATCTCCCAAAGTTCATTCCACTTAGCAATGAGAGAAGAAAATTATTGTGTTGTCTTTATGCCTGACACTTGGGAAGAGAAACAAAAAGTCATTCCCTTTCAGGCACTTTTACCCAGAGTTTTGAATATGTTCCAAACAGAAAGGTCTTTGAAATAAAGAGTGAAGTTGCTGCTCCTCTAAGTGGATTTGCTGTGGCACCAGTAGGAGCCATCACCTGTGTTTTGAAATATATTTGTCACAGATGAAAGTAAACAAAGCAGTGAAGTATTTTCGTCCCCTGTGAGCTGATCTGCCCACAGTGTGTGGTATTTTCAGGGGAGGGAAGCACAGAGAGCTGCACCTCTGCCCCAGAGAGGGGCAAGAACCCCCCAGCACCAAGAGAGTTTCCTGGGGCTGAGTCCTTTTTTATGGCTGTTTGCACCAGCAGCATCCAAGGGAAGGAATGTGCAATTCCATCTGCTCAGTTAAAGTCACTTTAATGTGTTTGGAGGACGCCCAGCTTCTTTTTGAAAGAGTAAATGCGTTATTTAAACATACACAGTCGCTCCCATAGAGCAAAATAAAGAGGAAAATATCCTTTGCACTCTTTCAAGTTAACTTAAATTGATGCTGTAGATTGTGTGAGTGCCTTGGGCAGCAGGGTATCACACAGCATTCTCCAGACCTTCACACAAGGCTGCTTTTTGTCTTGGCTTTGAGTCACCCATTGATTTCCAGCAGAGAACCAGCCTGCTGAAACCAAACAATGGAGGGAATTCTGCATTCTGGAACATGCAGCTCAACCTGTGCAGATGGAAAGCAAGCAACTTGGTTTAAGCAATAAGACTGATGTAAGGGAAGGTGGAATTGATGTTCTTTGGGAATAACCAGTCTGGGGAGTTGGTCTTACACAGCAGGTACTCCAGAGAACTTTTGAGGTGGGTTCTGCCATTTGAGGGCCTTGTCCCAGGTGATTCTGAGCACACAGAGGTCATTGACTGAGAACTATTACACAGAATCATAGAATAGAATCCCAGAATGGTTTGGGCTGGGAAGGACCTTAAAGCTCAACCCCTCCCACCCCCTGCCATGGGCAGGGACACCTTCCTCTATCCCAGGTTGCTCCAAGCCCTGTCCAACCTGGCTTTGAACACTTCCAGGGATGGGCCATCCTCTGGAAAATCCATTCCAGAGCTTCACCACTCTGACAGGGAAGAATTGCTTCCCATCCCTTCATATCCCATCTAACCCTGCCCTCTGGCAGTGGGAAGCCATTCCCCCTTGTCCTGTCCATCCATCCCTTGTCCCAAGTCCCTCTCCAGCTCTCCTGGAGCCCCTTCAGGCCCTGCAAGGGGCTCTCAGCTCTCCCAGGAGCCTTCTCTCCTCCAGGTGAGCACCCCCAGCTCTCCCAGCCTGGCTCCAGAGCAGAGGGGCTGCAGCCCTGGGATCAGTTCAGTCTCTCTCAGCTCCAGCTGGGAGAGCTGATCCTGCACCTCCCGGTCAGCACCGGAGCCTTGTCCGGGCAAACTCCCCAGCCCAGGCTGAGCTGAACCTGCCAGGGCTGACCTTTGGAGCCAAAGCACTTCTGTGCCTCGCTGAACTCAAGGCTGGTTTTGTGTGACAGACACTCGAAGGCTCTCAGAGCTCTCGGGTGCGTCACAGGCGCGGATTCACTCCGGGCTCCCGGGACCGGCAGCTCCGGGCGGGCAGGGCAGAGGCAGCCGTGAAAGGGCTGCGTGCAGGGATTTACTGCGGGTAACGCTGCCCCGAAGTGCTCTCGAGCTGCTATTCAGCGCCATCCACATGCCTGCAAAATGTCATATCATCTCCCCGATGCCTTTTCTCCCTCCCTCATGAATGAGGCTCTCTCCCTCCTGCCCTCAATGAAGGCTTTGTTTTGGTCTTCGACATTCAGCACAAACTTTTTTTGATGGCCAGAATGAAGAACTGTTGTCACGGGGAGTTTTCTCCTCAGACTGTCAGTTTGGGAATGTTGCTGACTGGGGATGGAGCTGAGATACTGGAAGCATTTTGACAAATCTGTTATATTTTTTCCTCTGCAGGGTCTGATGCTCATGTCTGATGCTCATGTCCCATCATGTCTGATGCTCATGTCTGATGCTCATGTCCAATAATGCATTACAAAAAAATTATTTATAATAATTATTTATAATCTTTATAGAAATTATTCTAATATTCTGTGTCACATTTGGGGGCTTTTCAGTGTCCTTTTGGATGCTTCAGTCTGTTGTATTGAAGTGTATTTTACTGCTAAACTCTGTCCTTGATAATTCAGAGAAACTCAGTGAGAAGCACACACTCACTCAAAGGACTTCTCAATAGGATCTTCCCCTAAATTTGTCTCAAAAGCATTTTCTGATAATAAGATAATAACATGGATGACTCTTTCCAGTCTACACTGATGTGCTGAGATGTTTAATTTTCTGTGAATATGGGCCACAGAGATAATAAACAAAGTGATAAGAGGTTTTAGGTTTTTTAACTTTCTGCTGCACTGTGGATTCAATCTGGAAAACAACAACAAAAAAGAGCCTTTTGATGGTAAATCATTGAAATGGAAATAGTGCCTGAAATTCACTTATAAAGTCACTAAAGGAAGGGTCACTGTAAGAAGGAATAAGGGCTGTCTAAGCAAGGGGTTTATGTCTATCTGATGCATTTTTATAAAATAACAATAATTTTTAGCAGAACACGAGGATCTTTTTCCACAGAGAAAAAGGAGGGAGAACCTCTGTGGCTGGAAACACTGAGGGCAACAGATCCATCCTTAGCAAAGCCAGCAGGTGTCAGGAACAGTAAATGATGAGAACATGGGAACAGGTGGAAAGTCAGTGTTTGGGCAGTGTCAGAAGTGTTTGACTGTAAGCAATTTATTGGGTGGCTGAAACATGGGAGAAACGTCTCAAAAAAGGGAGGACAGGAGACAACAGGAGCTTTTGACCTGTGGGAACTTCTATTTCCCAATTATCTCTGGCCTAATTGCAGAATGAATCACTTCTTCCAAGCCTCACCACTGCCCAGATGTTACTGCAGATGGCACAGTCTCTGCCAAAAAAGGGCTTGTAAATACACACCAGGGCTGTAACCAGTTGGGTTGAACTTCCAGTGCCACTTCAAAACAAATAAAAGAATGCTACATGCCTCTCTGTTCTTCCCATGCTTTCCCCCCTCAGCTGGAATTCAGGGTTCTTCAAAAGAAAAGTGTTTTCACCCATCATCCCATCCCCTTACAGCAATTTAACAGGGAAAACTAAGCATCTGCTCCACCAGAGATCTAGGAAATATTTTCTAAATTGTATCACAGTAGAACAAAAAGCTTCCTTGAGCTGTAGGGTCTAGGAGAAAGGAGGTTATATATGGCATTAATTTTCTATTCTCTAATGGAAACCATTGTCTGCCTTTGCTACAGCCATGGTTTTCTAATGGTTGGAAGTAATTTGCCCAGATTAATGCTCTCTGTTCAATTCATTTAATGTGACTTAATTTCATAACACTACAGGCTTTATCAGGAGTCAAAGTAACCCCTGGAAAACCCCAGCAGGCAAAAATGCCTGTCGAGTTTAGCTGTTGAGGCTGGATGATGCTGCTGGGTGAAAAATGGAGGAATTGTTTGGAGGGGAAGGACCATCAGAAAAATCACTGGGTCTGTCCGAGTTCTTTGTCTTCATCGGATGTGTTATTGGGTCACAACTCAGCTTTTAGTTTGACGTTTGTCACAATGTGGGGTTTGTGTCTCTGGCCATACAGGAGCAGTGTGAGACTCCCCCAGGCCTGTGCTGCACTGACCATGCATCAGTGACCCACCAAAAATCCTCATTCTTTTTTTTATCAGGTTGAATTTGGGATTTTACCTATTGCAGAGATGCACATAAAGGCGCCCATGTTTCCATTTCCACTTCATTTGGAAAGTGTCACCTATATAAAATCATAAAAGCTGTTGTGTTGGTTGGTTTTTCCCCCCCATGGTTGTTCTCATCAGCTTTCTCTATGTATGGGAATATTCTCAGTGATATCTTTTCTCCCTTAGATGTTGTAACATCCCATTTCTGCCCCAGAACCCATTTACACCAGCCAGAGCCCTCAGTCAGGTGTCCTGCCCTTGACCAACCAGTCTGCTCATTCTGAATGCCAAAGTAACCTTTGATTTGGTTTAATATTCTTTCACATGTCTTTCAACACTGTTTTGATCCCTTTTTTTCCTGAGGCTGGTCCTACAAAGCACCATTCAATGCCTTTATTCAGGATAGGAGGATGCCTTTGGAATTGTGAACACGTTAAACATGTTAATAGTGTATAATACTTCTCAGAAATACTATTTTGCAGCCAGTCTACTATTCTGCCCTGCTTTCCACCCAAAAAAGAGCCCCAAAGTAGTTGCAAAGCAACTGTTACAGCATTTCCATGTTTTCATCCACCTTTAGTGGTCATTGGTGTGGGTTGATGGTTTTGCCAGTGTTTATGAATTATGTATCACTATGATTCAAGGCCTATGGTTTATTGATTACTATATTCCATTTAGGATTCACACTCCATGTTTAGCATGTTGGGCTTTGCTACAGTAAATTATAAACTCCTGAAAGACTCAGCTTTGGAACTCTAACCCTTAAGTAGCGTTTGTGATCTTCTCTCACTGTCCGAGGTTCATCCCTCTGTGGTCTGATCCAAGGCCTGGTTTGACAGTCACTCCACGCACTCAAACTTCCCAGGAAATTGCTAAAATCTTAGAGAAAGCCACGAGGAAACATATATCCATGGGCAGATAGTGATGGGACAAGGGGGAATGGTTTAAAACCAAATAGAGGGGAGATTTATATGGGATATTGGGAAGGAATTCTTCCCTGGGAGGGTGGTGATGCCCTGGCACAGGTTGCCCAGAGAAGCTGTGGCTGCCCCATCCCTGGAAGTGTCCAAGGCCAGGTTGGACAGGGCTTGGAGCCACCTGGGCTAGTGGAAGGTGTCCCTGCCCATGGCAGGGGGTGGGATGAGATGAGATTTAAGTTCCGTTCCAGCCCAATCCATTCTGGGATTCCATCATTCTACTGCAGAGCCAGGCAAGGGAGTGGAAGCACAGACACATGAGCCTGAAACAGGTGGTTACTCACCCACAGTGACCCACAGAAAGCATTGAAATAGTAAAAGTCTCAAAGGTTTTGAAGGAAAACTCGAGGAATTGGCAGCTGGCATTTCAGGTCAGAAGACACTCCCCTATTTCCTGAGATTCCCCTTCCTCCTCCAGCAGCCATGTACCAATCTATACTACAGTGTGTTTGATCACCTTTATTCCAGGGAGCACACAGCACTCAAAACTGACCCTTGATGGAGCCTGGGGTGAGTTTTTCCTTGGATAAGGGCCATGGCAAGCACGTTCCCCTCTGAGATCAGGATTTCTCTTGCCCACACACTGAGAATGACCCTGTCAGAAGGTGCTTGGGAAAGGGGAGGATGAGCCCACCCAGCAGTGGCTTCAGGCAGCCTTGGGTTATCCTGGGTGGCCTATTTGATCCTCCCCAGCTTTTCTTCTCTCCTTCTGGTCTGAGGTTCCTTCCCAGCATGACCAGGGCACGTTTGTGGTCCTGCAGGGAGGGGAGAGCCCTGTGTGCTGGGGAGGGAAGGGTGAGCGGGGCTCGACTGCTCTGAGCTGTCTCATCAGGGACAAACGTGGAAGGAGGGGGAAGGAAGAACATCTGATGGAATATGAGGTGGATTTCTGTGCAGGAGCAGCTTCTTGGAGAGGGTGTGGAGGCAGTGATTTTGAGTTTAGTCAGCCCAACCCGCTGGTGATGGTTTCCTTATGCTCATTATTTCTTAAGGAGAAGAAAAAAGATTGTATTACATGAAGACCAAAATGTTTATGGTAATTTTTCTAAGGACCAAAGATGGTGCAGGCAAGCAACATACTAAAAAAAAACCCCACCAATCTCAAATCAAACACAAAGGAAGAGATGCAGAGCCTCCCCAACAACTGACAGCAAATTCAAATTGCATTGTCTGAT